CAATTTTTTTTAACTAACTTAAAATAAATTAATCGCTGATGATTTGTTGCTGTATATTGCAAATTAATGAGGTTCAAGACGCAATACTGCCGTACGATGTAAAAACTTAGTTAAGTCATATTTTTGACAAAAATGAGTTTTTGGAGGTCCGTCAAACCAGAACCTCCACAATTGAAATTTAGAAAACTGACTACACTAGATTTTTGGACTTTTTTAGAGCTATTTTTGGGCCCTATTAAGAAATTTTGGGCTCTTTAAATTTTTCCAAAAATTTAATTTTTATGTGGAGCTGCCCACTTCCGTCAAGCTAGCACCTCCACTATGTAAAAACTTAAAATTAAAAAAAATCAAATACACTATATTTTTGGGCTTTTTTTGGGCTCTTCAAAAAAAATATTCCCGATTTATAAAACTCACCCCTTCATCAAAAACCAACCCCTTTAATATCAGCAATTTACATTTTCAAGGTTTCCAATTAATAAATTCATCGGATTATTTTAAACCTCATTACTCGGGGGGTTTTCGAGGTCGCTGATTACGAATCTGCATTCCTTTTTCAAAAATTCAAAATGGCGGATCCAATATGGCGGACGAATTTTAAAAAAATTCATCGGATTCGTTTAAACCTCGTTAGTCGGGGGTTTTCGAGGTCGCTGATTACGAATCTGCAGTCCGTTTTCAAAAATTTAAAATAACGGACGAATTTTAAAACAGCCATCCCGATTTTTGGGCTCTACCCCTAAAGCCAAAAACCACCCCTAAACTTCAAAAAAAGTGTAAAATTTGAGCCATTTACGCTTCTTCATTTTATTTCTTCTTCTAACTGATCCCAATATTTTTGGGCTCCTCAAAAACAGCCCTCCCGATTTTTGGGCTCTACCCTTTAACCCAAAAACCACCCCTAAACTTCAAAACAAGTGTATATTTTGAGCTATTTACGCTTTTTCATTTTATTTCTTCTTCTAACTGATCCCAATATTTTTGGGCTCCTCAAAAACAGCCATCCCGATTTTTGGGCTCTACCCCTAAAGCCAAAAACCACCCCTAAACTTCAAAACATGTGCAAAATTTGAGCTATTTACGCTTCTTCATTTTATTTCTTCTTCTAACAGATCCCAATATTTTTGGGCTACTCAAAAACAGCCATCCCGATTTTTGGGCTCTACCCCTAAAGCCAAAAACCACCCCTAAACTTCAAAACATGTGTATATTTTGAGCCATTTACGATATTTTTTATTATATCTTCTGCTAACTGATTCCAACATTTTTGGGCTGCTCAAAAACAGCCATCCCGATTTTTGGGCTCTACCCCTTAACCCAAAAACCACCCCTAAACTTCAAAACATGTGTAAAATTTGAGCTATTCACGCTATTTTATTTTATTTCTTAATAAAAAAAATAAAATAACGTGAACTAAGGACTTTTCCAATGTCAAGCTCGCGATAAACTTTGATAAAAAAAATAAAATAGCGTGAATAGCTCACATGTTTTTACACATGTTTTAAAGTTTAGGGGTGGTTTTTGGGTTTAGGGTCTGAGCCCAAAAATCGGGATGGCTGTTTTTGAGGAGCCCAAAAATATTGGGATCAGTTAGAAGAAGAAAAAAAATGAAAAAGCGTAAATAGCTCAAATTTTACACTTTTTTTGAAGTTTAGGGGTGGTTTTTGGCTTTAGGGGTAGAGCCCAAAAATCGGGATGGCTGTTTTTGAGGAGCCCAAAAATATTGGGATCAGTTAGAAGAAGAAATAAAATGAAGAAGCGTAAATAGCTCAAATTTTACACATGTTTTGAAGTTTAGGGGTGGTTTTTGGCTTTAAGGGTAGAGCGCAAAAATCGGGATGGCTGTTTTTGAGGAGCCCAAAAATAGTGGGATCAGTTAGAAGAAGAAATAAATTGAAAAAGCGTAAATAGCTCAAATTTTACACATGTTTTGAAGTTTAGGGGTGGTTTTTGGCTTTAGGGGTAGAGCCCAAAAATCGGGATGGCTGTTTTAAAATTCGTCCGTTATTTTAAATTTTTGAAAACGGACTGCAGATTCGTAATCAGCGACCTCGAAAACCCCCGACTAACGAGGTTTAAACGAATCCGATGAATTTTTTTAAAATTCGTCCGCCATATTGGATCCGCCATTTTGAATTTTTGAAAAAGGAATGCAGATTCGTAATCAGCGTCCTCGAAAACCCCCCGAGTAATGAGGTTTAAAATAATCCGATGAATTTATTAATTGGAAACCTTGAAAATGTAAATTGCTGATATTAAAGGGGTTGGTTTTTGATGAAGGGGTGAGTTTTATAAATCGGGAATATTTTTTTTGAAGAGCCCAAAAAAAGCCCAAAAATATAGTGTATTTGATTTTTTTTAATTTTAAGTTTTTACATAGTGGAGGTGCTAGCTTGACGGAAGTGGGCAGCTCCACATAAAAATTAAATTTTTGGAAAAATTTAAAGAGCCCAAAATTTCTTAATAGGGCCCAAAAATAGCCCTAAAAAAGCCCAAAAATCTAGTGTAGTCCGATTTCTAAATTTTAATTGTGGAGGTGCTGGTTTGACGGACCTAGTTTTTGGTATCAATGGATTCGAAAGAAAAAACTGCGTCTGATTATGTTATTAAAAATTGTTTATTTTAATTATTTATTGCAAAAAATAGTTATTAAAAATCTACAAAAACCCAGAAAATGAAAGAATACTTGATAAAAACTCAGTTAACTCGAGTTGAGTAGTCCAAAAATCGTAGGAAGCGTTGAGATCGAGCATAAGATACGAAATAAAAACTTAGTTAACTCGACTTGAGTGTTTTCTCTTTCGAAAAGTGGCATGAGCCGGACACTGCATTTCGATGGGAGCAAGCGTAAGTCAACTTCGTTAAAGTTCGGATTTTCGTCGGGTGAATTCGGAATCCCATGCATTTAGCTTGAGTTAACTAAGTTCTTACTTCTGAACGAAGGCTCGCTCTCGCCTACCTTTTCGAAAAGCACTACGTAACTCGAGTTAACCAAGTTTTGCTTTTAAAAAAATAAAACGTAAGTCAATTATTTAATATAATTTTTTTAAATAATTAACTTTTGACTTCAGAATTAAAAAGAACTCTATCAAATTACCTAGGAAGTGAAGTTAGATTAAATAATTATTTATATTACATTAGGTTTTTAAATACAAATAGTTTTTCGTCATTTTCTCCGTTCGAACAAAATATGACTTAACTAAGTTTTTATTTCGCACGGCAGAATACTCTTATTATTACTGACTCTAAAAGGTCTCTGTGTGAACTTAAGAATAGACTTTTCTCCTCTCACCTTCATCCGTTCATTAGAAACATTGTTAAAATGATTGTTTGCATATTGGAAGGAGGTGGACAGGTTCGGTTCCTCTTAGTGGCTTCCCACTCGGGCATTAAGGGTAATGAAAAGGCAGATAAACTGGCTAAGGAAACTTTGGAGTTTCCATTCGGTAACTTCTCCGGTGTTCCTTCTCGCGATCTACTACAGATTTTCGAAAAGAACTTTGATGCGTGGAAGGCGTTAACTTCTTGGCCTTATGCCGATATTTCCAAGTCCCGTAATAAATACTATCTGAGAGTGGGCTACAAGACTAAAAGACCTCGGTTTGGTGGCATCGATACATTCAGGAAATACATAAACTTGGTCACCAGGCTGAGAACTTCCAACATCTGCATGGACGATCACTTCGAAAGGATGAAGTGGAACATTCCTCCTGGTTGTAAATGTGGAGCTGAATTTAAAAGCCTTAGACACATGCTTTGCTTTTGCCCACTTCTGTCAAGTGTTAGACCTAAATTTTTATCTTCTTTGGCATGTATAAAATACCTAATTTTAATCCAATTAATTTCGATTTGGATGAATTAATATTTAATCCAAATATTGAAATTGCAGTTGAGATTGGAAGATTTTTCGCCAGTGGTGAAATGGTTGTATAAATTCGATTAATGATTGATAACAAATACTGACCGTAAGGGTAGAGAAATCGTAGAGGATTAAACAGATTTAAAAGGTAAGACTGATGTGAGAAAAGTTTTGAGAGGGAAAAGGGAATAAGAGATGGGTAAGTTCAGCTCAAAAATATGATTATGACAAATGAAATTCCATAGAATGAAAATTCTAACTAATGATTTTTAGATCATAATCATGCGTCCCTCCATATTGCATCCGCCATTTTGAATTTTCAAAATCTAATATCAGATTTTTAATCAGCTATTACTCTTGTTATTTCAGCTTTTTAAACTAAAATCATAATACAGATATATCATTAAAATACAATTAGAAAATTTTTTGAGACTGATCTTATTCTTTTTGATAGTAAAAATTATTGCATCATACATTTGTCAGGGAAATGATGTAAAAAAAAACACTGTACTTGTAACGAATTGAATAATACAAATGATTCAATTCTTATGTAATGATTCCTCAGACATTGAAAATTGGAACAATTCTAGACGATTAGAAATTTCTATTACAACTTTGTAAATTACCATTAAATGTTTAGAGTCATCAAGTTTGATGAATTTCGATTATATGACTTTTGTTTCCTAATGAAATATGTAACATTTTTTTTTATTCTAGATTTCAATTGTGTTTATAACGTTTAAAAAAAATTTTTTTTTGTCTAATATTTTCAGAAATTTATTTTGATTGCAGAAGAAACAAAAAAAAAAAAAAAAAAGATTTAACATTGAAAATGAATTTCTTTTTGAAAATTTTAGGTCATCCGTTAGAGAAAGTCTGAGCCTAGATTAAAAGCATTAATTTAGTTAATAATTCTTAACTAAATAACAAAGAAATATAATATAAAATATTCTATCAAATATTTTAATCATTAAAAAATTGTACAAGACTTAATACGTAGTATATTTTATAAAAATAAATTTTTATATAAAACCAATCTATTTACTTATAAACATAATGTATTGTAATATTAAGATATAAATGTATTCACTTGTGTCTACAAACTAAAGAAATTTCATATATTTTAAAAATCATTTGACTATTTTTCATATATATTATTTAACAGCACTTCTGATACTTTGTGCCTTAAAAAAAAATTTAATTGATTCAAAAATATAACCAAGTAAGTTCGTGAATTAAATTTTATCAATTTTTATGTTATACAAATTATAATATCACTTTCTCTTCTCTCTTGTTTTTAGCTATAAAACTAAAATAACAATAAAAATCAATAAAATATAATGAAGAATTTTTTGAAACTAATCTCATTGTTTCTGACACTAAAAATGATTGCATCATTTGATTGCTTCGAATATGAAATAAAAAATTGCAATTGTTACCAACTTGATAATGCAATAATTCAATACACATGTATTGATCCAACAAATTTAAAAAATAGAAACAATCCTAAACAATTTGAAATTTCAATTGGAACTTTTGAAACTGTCATAAAATGTATAAATTCAGCAAGTTTAACAAATTTTCATTACAATTTTCGTTCATTATTAATAGATGTATCAGCTCTTGTTCTCGAAAATTGCATTGTTAATAAATATACAGATTTACAAAAGATTAGAGAATTAACAGCAGCACCGTATATTGGCAAAATGAATTTAATTAATAATTTTCAATTAAATGATATTCTCATTGAAAATCCATCTGATGAATTAAATTCACTGCTTGGATTAAATATCGAGAATAATAATAATTTAGAAGAAATAAATATGAGACTATTTCACAAGGTTAAAAATATTTTTTATCTCACGATAAAAAAATGTTTTGTTCAAAAAATTACTCCAAATGCATTTAGTGAATTAAAAAAATTATTAAAATTAGATTTATCGGAGAATAAATTAAAGGATATTTATCCTGAAACATTCAACAGATTAACAACACTAACTGATCTTGATCTCAGTGGAAATCAACTGGAAATTATTGATAATAACATTTTTCAAAATTTACAACAACTCAAAAATTTGAATCTTCAAAATAATAAACTTACAACAATATCACAGTAATTTTTATATTAAATATTTAATTTTTTCAGCAATTATTATTTTTATTATATTATAATTAAGTATATATTTTTGTACCATTTAGATTTCTGTTAAATCAACTATACAATTTGGAAGTATTTAATGCAGCTGATAATTTAATAGATACAATTCATATAAATGCATTTGCAGAATCGTCGAAATTAGAAAAAATAAATCTTGCAACAAATAATATTGCTCATCTTTCATATAGAAATAGTAGATTTGTATCAGTAATAATGGGATCTAGAAAAAACTATTCACTATTTTCTTCATGTTTTAATCTAAAGGAATTAGATCTCTCCTTCAATAATATTCAAACGTTTTATGATGATTGGATTGATTTATCCGAAAAGAAATTAATTTCTTTAAAACTTTCACATAATCAGATCACTAATTTTAGAGTAAGTTATTATTAAATACTAATTTTTTTCTAAAGGAAAAAGTGTAAAATTTTTGCCTATTTTAGAACTAAGAAGCACACTATGTACTTTTCCTCAGCATTTTGAATCCGAATCTGATCTCAGAATTGAACCAACTCGTCAGGTTTTCGAGATATTCTAACCTAAAAATGCAAAAAAGGCATTTTTTGATCATACTTAAGGGTATGTAACATCAAGAGATAATTTCTTTTTCAAAAAAGTCGTTACAGCATCTGAAAGTAGAATTCTTACCCTTGAAAATGCATTTTGAAAATTTACAAAATCTTTATTTGGCCCTAAGTTATCGTCATTTGAATTTTCTAAGTGTTGAATGTTTCAATATTCGTGTATCAGATAATGCTTCAAAAAATTCAAATGACGATAACTTAGAGCCAAATAAAGATTTTGTAACCTTTCAAAATGCATTTCAAAGGGTAAGAATTCTACTTTCAGATGCTGTAACGACTTTTTTGAAAAAAAATTATCCTTTGATGTTACATGCCCTCAAATATGATCAAAAAAACCTTTTTTGCACTTTTAGGTTAGAATATCTCAAAAAATATGAGAGAAGCAGGCTCAGGAAAAAAGTCCTTAGCAACCGTTGTTAAGGAAAAAAATCCTTAGCAACGATTGCATTGTAACGGTTGCTACGGTAACTTTCAGGTCTGGGCCACGAAACCCTAAAAAAACTGAAGCACTGGGTCAATTCTGAGGTTGATTTCAGATTCAAAATGCTTCAAAAAAGTATATTAGTCTGCTTCTTGATTCTGAATTAGACCAAAATTTCGTTAACTTATATGATAATTAAATTAAATTTCTTTTTCAGTTAAATCATAATTTTACAATGAAATCAAATTTTCACATTGACTTAAAAAGCAATCAAATAAGATCAATTAATTTATTTTTCTTATCAACACTAAAATATGAAACACCCTTTAAAATGTATATAGACGCAAGGGATAATCCTATTATTTGTGATTGTTTAAATGACAATCTTTTACATTACATAAAGGGTCAAATGGAAAGAAAAATTTATAATCATTTAGATATAAATACAAATAATTTAAAATGCAATGGACCAAATGAACATAAGGATAAAATATTGTCAACACTAAGCAGTGATAATTTATCGTGTGAAGTAAAATTGAAATCAGACAACAATGAAAAACAATTGTGCCATAGAAATTTTTTTATTCTATTAAAGCAAACTGTAATCAATTGTTCTAATATTGGTTTTACAATGGTTCCAAATAATCTTGGAATTATTATTACTTTTGATAATGAATTGGATTTTGAAAATAATAATTTAGAACTTATTCCCCAATTTAGTAGTGAGGAAGTAAAATTTGTTACGAAATTAATACTTTCGGGAAATAAAATTAAAAATCTCTTTGGTATTAATGCGTATATGAATCTTAAGGTAGAAGATTTTAATTAATAATGATTTGTATAAATATTGTGAATAATTGTCATCAATGTAATTTACTGATATATATATTATTTTTTTCAGATTTTAAAACTTAATAATAATGAAATACAAGACATAAGTAATAATGACATAAAGATTTTGAATTCATTAGAAAAATTAGAACGCGTTACTCTAAGTGGTAATCCTTTGAAATGTGGACCAAATTTCAACCAAATTAAAAATATTGTAAAAATTGAAGATAGAAATAATCTAACTTGTCATTAGAACCACTTAAATCGACTTTTAAGAAGAAAAATAATCTTATTCTGAAATTTTAAAACTTTTTTTTTATGTACTACAAACTATAGAGATAATTTGAAGCAATATTCCGTCTGTCCGTTGTACACTCGTATGGTTTCCATGGTAATAGTTACCATAGCAACCGTTACTATGGCAACCGTTTCCATAGCAACCGTTACCATGACAACCGTTACTATAGTAATCATTTCCATAGCAACCGTTCTAATTTACAATACACTTAATGTTTTATTTTTTAAGACAAACTAAAATTATTATATTTTTATGTGTTGAAAATTTTACTAAAATTCTCGATAATTTTGAATATTGAATAAAAAAAAAAAGTTTGTATTGGCAAATTGACATTTGATATAATTTTTATATTTCTTTACACCATCGTGAAAAAATTACCAAGAATTGACCACTAAAAACTCTTGAGGAAATTCCTGCTAAAATTTCTGTTGGGAATTACACTTAAAAAAAAACTTTATTACTTATTATTTTTGTACTATTTATGAAAGTAAATAAACAAAACTTTTAGGTTAGGAACTTGTTTAAGTGACCTAACCTAACAAAGAAACACCACAGCACCGAAATTTTCCTAAAGATTTCCTAAAGATTTATTTGAAATGTTCGGAATATTTAATTGCAATGTTTAGTGAAAATTTTGTAACATTGCAATTAAATATTCCGAACATTTCAATTAAATCTTTAGGAAATATTTAAGAAAGTTTCGGTGCTGTGGGGGAAAATATACAATTTCTACGACTGAATACATATTAAATTTTATCTAAAAAAAAAAATGGAAATATTCCGCTTTACGAATTATTACTATATAATCTATAACTTTTTATTCATAGGCATAACGTGGTACAATAAGATATAAATTTTAATCAGTTGAGTATACAAACTAAAGGAATTGTAGATATTTTCAAATCATTCGACTATTTTTTTCTAGTTATTGTTATACACTGTGGCGTCTTATAAAAATAATTTTATTACGTTTCAAAATAAAATCAAGTAAGTACACGAATTTAAGTTTATAAATTTTTAATTGACAAATATAATAAATAAAAATTAACATGTTATACTAAAAGAAAAATTATTCAATATACTTTTTATAAAATTAATGTATATTCATATAAAAAAATATTTTCCAAACATTTTTATTACACTTTTTTTTCTATATTATTTCAGCTACAAAAAAATCTAAATTCTAAAATCAAAATCAAAATAGAGAAATCAATAAAATACAATGAAGAGTTTTTTGAAACTGATCTCATTATTTCTGACACTAAAAATGATTACATCATTCCAATGTCTCGAAAATAATGTAAAAAACTGCACTTGTTTTGATCTTGATAATTCAGCAATTGAATACATATGTCTTTATCACACAAATAATAATAGTGAATACAATAATTATGAAGAATTCAACATTGTTATTGGTCCTTTTGAAACTGTAATAAAATGTATAAAATTATCAAATTTAAAAAATTTTCATTTTGACTTTCGTTTTCTACACATATATTTAACAACACTCGTTCTAGAGAATTGTGTTATTGATAAAAATACAGATTTAGAAAAAATTAAAGAACTAACTTCTGTTCAATATGTCAATACAATTACTTTATCAAATAATATTCAACTAAATAATATTCTCATTGATAATACATCTGCAGAATTATTTATGCTGAGTGGATTGATTATTATGGATTATAATAATTTAACAGAAGTATCTGAGAAAATTTTACACAAAGTTCCTAATATTGTATATTTGACGATAAAAAATTGTTTTGTTCAAACTATTACTCCAAATGCATTTCATAATTTAAAAATATTGTCAAAATTGGATTTATCGAAGAATAAATTAAAATATATTCATCCTGAAACATTCGATTATTTATTTGAACTAACTAATCTTGATCTCAGTGATAATGAAATTGAAATACTTGATGATAAAATTTTTCAACATTTACAAGATCTCAAGAATTTGAATCTTCAAAATAATAAAATCACAACAATATCAGAGTAATTTCTATATTATTAATATTTTTCTTTTGCAATATTCAAAATTATCATATAGAATTCTCTACACAGTTTTCTTGTGTGTATCAAATTGATACAAGAATTAAGATCAACTCATGCAACGTTTTGATTCGATATAAGGTAGCAAATTGATCCAAATATTTGAATCATTTTCAAGAAATGATCCAGAATATGGGATCATTTTTTGATACCTGAATTGGTATCAAAGTATAACTTTCATGGCTGGCATGCTCTTATTGACAAGTTTATTAATTAATTTATTCACAGCACTGAATATTCAGATATTAAAAATACTTTTATTATGAATTTTAAGAAAGAGAGAAGCGAAAACTTATAAATTGCGAGCAATTAAATAAGAAAAAATTTATTTCGAAATAAAATGAAATACACTAACCTTTATTTATGTTTATCACATAAGATTTAAGTTAAATTCACAATCACAACACTTGAAAATTTTTAATTATTTTTATGGTCCAAATAATTATCAATAATTTATTTATTATAAATGAACAAAATTTAAGTAATGCACGCTTGATAAATATTTCTAATGCGTTGTCAATTAATGCAATTAATAATTTCCTATTACACAATATCATAATCGACATATATGACATTTGTAAACAAACAGGGTTGGGAAACAAGAGCTCAAAATATATTCGTCCAAAGCAGAATTGGGTAGGATTGAAATTCGCTTTGGACGAATATATTTTGAGCTCTTGTTTCCCAACCCTGTTTGTTTACAAATGTTATATATGTCGATTATGATATTGTGTAATAGGAAATTATTAATTGCATTAATTGACAACGCATTAAAAATATTTATCAAGCGTGCATTACTTAAATTTTGTTCATTTATAATAAATAAATTATTGATAATTATTTGAACCACAAAAATAATTAAAAATTTTCAAGTGTTGTGATTATGAACTTAACTTAAATATTATGTGATAAACATAAATAAAGGTAGAGTGTATTTCATTTTATTTCGAAATAAATTTTTTCTTATTTAATAGCTCGCAATTTATAAGTTTTCGCTTCTCTCTTTCTTAAAATTCATAATAAAAGTATTTTTAATATCTGAATATTCAGTTTTGTGAATAAATCTTCTATTATATTAAGTTAACAAATTTCGAAAAACGACACCGACCCCGTGACCTCGACACCGTCCTTGAAAAATCTATTTTCAATTATTTTCAAATAAATCAAAATACTTTGCATTTATGCTTTTAGAAAATCTTACAAACTATTTTTATGTAACATCTTTTTTCAATTTTAACCCGAAAAAGGGTTATTTTTCAATTTTAACCCGAAAAAGGGTTATTTTGCAATTTTATCCCGAAAAAGGGTTATTTTGCAATTTTTTAAGAATTTTTTGATTTTTTCAATTTTTTATTATTATTTTTTATTATTTATTGTTGTTTTTTCAATTTTTAGTTAGTAACCTATAATATTGTGTCTAATTTTAAGTGTCATTAAAATCAAATGTTTTTAACTTAATAATTTTAACATTTCTTAATTTAAAACGAAACATCTTCTATTATATTAAGTTAACAAATTTCGAAAAACGACACCGACCCCGTGACCTCGACACCGTCCTTGAAAAATCTATTTTCAATTATTTTCAAATAAATCAAAATACTTTGCATATATACTTTTAGAAAGTCTTACAAACTATTTTTATGTAACATCTTTTTTCAATTTTATGATAAATTTTATACAATATTAATAAGTTATCAATTTAAAACATAAATTATAAATATATGTAATATACATAAACTACAATAAGTAAACAACAATAAGTACAATTTTAACCGAGCGAGCGAGGAATACATCGCTAGTTAATTAATAAACTTGTCAATAAGAGCATGCCAGCCATGAAAGTTATACTTTGATACCAATTCAGGTATCAAAAAATGATCCCATATTCTGGATCATTTCTTGAAAATGATTCAAATATTTGGATCAATTTGATACCTTATATCGAATCAAAACGTTGCATTCCAAAATGATACCATCAAGTTTACAGTGTAGTATAATAAAATAATACTAATAATAATAATAACAATAATAAGAGTTGGTAATACCAAATTAAATATTTTTATTCCATTTAGATTATTGTTAAGCAAGCTACACAAATTGGAAATATTTAATGCAAATGAAAATTTAATATCTACAATTCATGAAAATGCATTTACGAATTTGTTCGAATTAAAACAAATAAGTCTTGCAAAAAATAAACTTAATGATCTTTTAAGTATAAAAGAAACGGAAAAAGACAAATTTTTGAAAAACAATTCAATATTTGCATCATGTAATAATCTAATAGAATTAAATCTTGCATACAATAATATTCAAAATTTTTATGACGATTGGATTGAATTATCCGAAATGAAATTAACGTCTTTACAACTTTCTCACAATCTATTGCCTCATTTTGCAGTAAGTTAGCGGATAATTTGTCACGTGTTGTTTTTTTTTTTTATTACAGTTAAGTTATCAAAAGCTATTTTTCGTTTTAGAATGATATGAATTTGCATTTTGAAATAAAAAATTGGTTCGCATGAATTTACCATAAAAATCGGTAATAAAAATTTTTATTCCATTGATTTTTTAATTTTATACAAAATTTTTCTTTATTCAACTTTTTATTTAAAAAATTCTAATTTAACCGCACAGTAAATTATCAGTATTCAAATAGCAATTTAGATTAAATTAATACCTATAAAAGATTAAAATAATTCATTTTTTGATTAACTTTATTTTTCAATTTGATAAAAATAAACGTTTTTAAGATCAATAATTGAAAGTATACAATTTTAAACATATTTGTCATATTTGGGTATACAATTTGCGTAAATCCATTTTGATTTCAACAGGAATTTCCTGAAATATTAAAAAAGTATATTCGATTTGTAGTTATAAGACAAGATTTCATCAAAACTTTTAATCAATATTAATTAAATGTCTTTTCTAGGTAACACAACATCATTTAAAGATGAAATCAGATTTTTACATCAACTTGTCCAACAATATGATGAAGGGAATTAATTTATATTCCCTAACGTCATTAGAATTTGAAACACCATATAGAATGCACATAAATGCAAGAGATAATCCTATTAATTGTGATTGTTTAAATGACAGACTTTTACAGTACATAAAGGGAAATTTAGATAAGAAAATCTATCAACATTTAAATATTGATACAACAAATTTAATATGCACTGGACCAGAAGAACTTAAGGGTGAAAAATTATCTGATTTAAGCAGTGATCATTTATCGTGTCAGATAACTGTTAAAACTTTTAATGATAATAATGTATCATGTACTCCAAAATATTTTCTTGAAAGACAGCTAACAATAATAAATTGTCCTAACAATAATTATACAAAATTTCCAGAAGGTCTTGGAATTATAACTAGTTTCGCTACTGAAATAGAATTAGAAAATAATAATTTAGAATATATTCCATCAGAATTTAGTAAAGCTGAACAAAAAACAATTACAAAATTAAATCTTTCTGGAAATAAAATTAAAAGTCTCAATGGTATTCATTTATTTGAAAATCTTGAGGTATATTTAATATTTATTTATTTCTTTATTTATATTGTTTCTGAATTTGATAAAAAAATCAACAACAGTATAATGCAATTATACCTTTTTTTCAGATTTTAGAACTTAAAAATAACAATATTCGTAATGTAAGAAACAAGTATTTACTGATTTTTGGATATTTAAAAAGTCTCAAAAGCATAACTCTCAGTGGTAATCCTTTGATATGTGGTCCAAATTTCGAAAAACTTAAAAATTATATCAAAATTAAAGATAGAAATAATCTAACTTGTCGTGATGAACCATTAATACCGAGTGAAAAAAGTGAACCCATTTTTGAAGAACCAAAAGAAACTTATTCTCTATTTGCGAAATATGCATTATGTTCTCTAGAAAGAGAAGATGTGGAGAAGACTTGGCAAAAGCAATGTTCAATTCCACAAATAGATGAAACGAAAGAATAGAAACGGTTGATGTATTGTTGTTCCATTTCTATATTTACATAATTTATTGGGAAAAAATCTCAGCTTACTAGCGTAAAAAACAAAACAAAAATTTAATGAGACAAAAAAGGATTTAAAAATGAAAAATAAGAATTTAGAAAAAAAATAAGTTAAAAATATTTTTTTTTGAAGAAACTTTTTTTTTAGTAAAAGTTACATGAAAAATGCTTCAAAAACCTCTAGTTAAAGGATATTATATAGTTTTGTCATATAGTTATACCTTTGTATTTCACAAGAATAGTGTTACTTAAAATGTCAAAATTTCACCCTCCACTACTTTTAATAATTTTTTTTTGACGCTACAATTTGTTGCATAAATAAATTTTGTAAAATAAATAAAATAAATTTTTTATACATTTTAACCACTTGACAGTTTTTACCCCTTTTTAACCCCAAAAAAAGTCGTGCCACCTTTGTGATTTTAGACATATATGTCCAGATTAGAAAAAAAATACTAAACATAATTCAATTTGAGTGACAATGCATATACTATGGTTTTCGGGGACGCTAAATCCAAATTTAAGGTCAGATTTAAAAAAAAATTCAAAATAGCGGACCCAATATGGCGGAAAAAGTTAAAATTGATTCGATTCGTTCAAAATTTGGTTTTCGGGGGTTTTGTGGTCGCTGAATCCAAATTTGACCAAAAAAATTTGGATTCAGCAACCCAAAAAACCCCCAAGTACCGAAATTTAAATGAATCGAATCAATTTTAAATTTTTCCGCCATATTGGGTCCGCCATTTTGAATTTTTTAAATCTGACCTTAAATTTGGATTCAGCGACCCCAAAAACTTTTAATACGATAATATGATATTTTTTTGGAAACTTTTTTTTGGACCGTTTTGGGCCCACAAACGATTTTTCTACTAGGGGTTAAGGCCAGGTCCAAGTGAGGCAGCGCCATCTACATTGATACTAAAATTTTGGAAAATTTTCAACAGCCTTTTCTTGAAAACAAGAATGTAAAATGCTCTTTCCTTTATGGATAATTGATTATTGGCAAGATATACACCAGCTAAAACTTTTTTTTAGTTAAAATAATAAAAAAAATTTCATGTCAATAAATTAAATATGAGCACTTTTTTCACAAAAACTGTAACAGTACTTTCTCAGAAATTACAATCAAAAATGCAATTTCCATTTGGAAAATTAATAAACGCTAAAAAATACACGACCTAAGATTTACCAATCACGAAAATAACAAAAAAAAATTTTATTAAATATTTAACATATTGATACTGCTTTACTGATTGTGACAGCCTTTTGGTAGATTATGTATTTCAGGTGGTTAGCAACAGCGCCAATCTCCTCCTTTCGGCAAAACTGCGAAACGTCTGGTGACATATATAACCTGCCAAACGGCTGTCATAATGAGTAAAATATATTATGTTAAAAAATTTTTTTTTTTGTTATTTTCGTGATTGGTAAATCTTAGGTCGTGTATTTTTTAGCGTTTATTAATTTTCCAAATGGAAATTGCATTTTTGATTGTAATTTCTGAGAAAGTACTGTTACAGTTCTTGTGAAAAAAGTGCTCATATTTAATTTATCGACATGAAATTTTTTTTATTATTTTAACTAAAAAAAAGTTTTAGCTGGTGTATATCTTGCCAATAATGAATTATCCATAAAGGAAAAAGCATTTTACATTCTTGTTTTCAAGAAAAGGCTGTTGAAAATTTTCCAAAATTTTAGTTTCAATGTAGATGGCGCTGCCTCACTTGGACCTGGCCTTAAGAGAGTTTTTATTAAAAATAATTATATATAAGACATTCCACGTGAGATTTTCATTCAAAATTATTTTTTTGACTGAAACATTTTTTTTTTAAATATTTATGAAAAATAATGAAAAAAAAATTTTTCAATGTAAATCATAATTAGTTAGATATACATATTTTTTAAATTTTCATATTTTAGTTATAAAAAAAAAAATTGTACAAATTGAAAAATGTTGACAAAAAAAATGTCAAGGACAATTTTATCTTTATTTGTTAATGTGTATCTTTATTGATACAAGTCAAGTTTTCCAATAATTTTCAATAATAATTCAATATGTATTTTAAACATAAAAGAATTACGCAACTTTCACGAATTATTGCATATTAAAATTTATAAAATAAAAAAAAAAAAGAAAAGAAACTGAAAGCATACCTCTATTAACTCTGGCTATGTCAACTGTCTGTATTTAAACTGTTGATCCTTCAAAATCATTCGACTATTATTCATATTTTAAAGTGGTTCTAATGGTTTGTTTGTCTTATAAAATCAATTTTAATAAGTTTTCATATTAAACCAAGTAAGTATATTACTTGAATTATGAATTTTTAATGTAAAACATATATGTAAAGAAAGAAATGTTGGTTCTAACCTCAAAAAACATATCAAATTTTTGATGGTGTATGAATATTTTTTTAAAATTAATGGATTTACAATAGAACTTGAAAACTATAGTAATCTGGGAGCGCTAATTACTTAAAAGTCAGATTTTCAAAATTCGATATGAAGGGCTTTCTCAAAAATTGGTGCATTTTTAGAAATTTTCTTAAGCCATATTCTGACTTCAGATTAATGTTTAAAAAAAATTCATAAACCACCACCAAAAATCCGATGTTTTTTGAGGTTAGGAAAAAATCCTAACGTGATGAAGCAAAACACACTTGAAATTTTTTTTTAGATTTTTTTTTGAGGGGAGGAGATCATGTTCATAATTACGATTTGTAACGCATTGATGAGAGGGGGTTTAGAATTTAGCCAAAGTAAAGTACTAATAAAAGACAATGAATCATTAAATTTATTTAATTTTTTCTCTTATTATTTCAGCTATAAAAACTATACACAAAAAACAATAAAATATAATGAAGAATTTTTTGAAACTGATCTCATTGTTTCTGACACTTAAAATTATTGCATCATTTGATTGCTTTGAAAATAAAATAGAAAATTGCAATTGTTACGAATTTGATAATGCAACAATTCAATACACATGTCTTGATCCCACAAATCTAAAAAATATAAACAATCCTAGAAAATTTGAAATTTCAATTGAACCTTTAGAAACTGTTATAAAATGCATAAATTCAGCAAATTTAAAAAATTTTCATTATGACTTTCGTTTTGTAATCACGGATTTAACAGCTCTTGTTCTCGATAATTGCATTATTAATAAATATACAAATATACAAAAAATTAAAGAACTGACTTATGCTGAATATGTCAGTAAAATTAATTTAGTTAATAATTCTCAATTAAATGATATTCTCATTAAAAATCCATCTGATGAATTAAATTCACTGCTTGGATTAAATATTAAGGATAATAATAATTTAGAAGAAATAAATATGAGACTATTTCACAAGGTTACAAATATTTTTTATCTCACGATAAAAAGATGTTTTGTTCAAAAAATTACTCCAAATGCATTTAGTGAATTAAAAAAATTATTAAAATTAGATTTATCGGAGAATAAATTAAAGGATATCTATCCTGAAACATTCAACAGATTAACAGCATTAACTAAACTTGATCTCAGTGGAAATCAACTGGAAATTCTTAATGATAATATTTTTCAAAATTTACAACAACTCAAAAATTTGAATCTTCAAAATAATAAACTTACAACAATATCAGAGTAATATTTTATTTTTTTCTTGAATTTTAAATATAGAATTTTTTATAGCAAAATTTCTATAATTTATGAAATTTTTATTTGTTAATTCACAGAAAATTAAAAGGCATTAAAATAAGCTGCAACGCTTATTATTTTAATCCATTTTGGTATTAAAATAAGCAAAATTTGATTAAAATAATAAGTGTTGTAGCTTATTTTAATACCTTATAATTTTCTGTGTCAACATATGGTTTTTATTTAAAAAGTTTGTTGTATTTAACCAAATAAACTATTTCCATGTTATTTAGATTCTTGTTAAACAAACTATACAATTTGGAAGAATTTAATGCAGCTGAAAATTTAATAGCTAAAATTCATGAAGATGCTTTTATAAAATTGTTAAAATTAGAACGAATAAATCTTCAAAAAAATAATATTAATGAACTTTCGAGATTAGATAATAAAATAGAAACACCAATAGCCGAATTTTGGAATAGCCATTCAATATTTGCTTTATGTAGTAATCTACAAGAATTGGATCTTTCCTTCAATAATATTCAAATATTCTATGATGATTGGATTCATTTATCCGAATTGAATTTAAATAGTCTAAAACTTTCTCACAATCAGATACCTTCTTTTGAAGTAAGTTACCAAAAAAAAAAAAAAATGTGATTTAAAAAAGAGTACAACTCTAGACAAGCGTTATTTTTTTTATTTTTTAAACGCTAAAAATGTATCGCTAATTCGTACTTTGAAATATAAAAATTTGATATCATATAATAATAATAATATCTTTTCCAGGTAACACAACATCATTTAAAAATGAAATCAGATTTTTTCATTGATTTGACCCACAACAAGTTGAAGGGAATTAATTTATATTCCCTAACGTCATTAGAATTTGAAACACCATATAGAATGCACATAGATGCAAGAGATAATCCTATTAATTGTAATTGCTTAAATGACAGACTTTTACAGTACATAAAGGGAAATTTAGATAAGAAAATCTATCAACATTTAAATATTGATACAACAAATTTAATATGCGCTGGACCAAAAGAACTTAAGGGTGAAAAATTATCTGATCTAAGCAGTGATCATTTATCGTGTCAGATAACTGTTAAAACTTTTAATGATAATAATGTATCATGTACTCCAAAATATTTTCTTGAAAGACAGCTAACAATAATAAATTGTCCTAACAATAATTATACAATATTTCCAAAAGGTCTTGGAATTATAACTAGTTTCGCTACTGAAATAGAATTAGAAAATAATAATTTAGAATATATTCCATCAGAATTTAGTAATGCTGAACAAAAATCAATTAGAAAATTAAATCTTTCTGGAAATAAAATTAAAAGTCTCAATGATATTGATTTATTTGAAAATCTTGAGGTATATTTAATATTTATTTGTTTATTTAAATTGTTTCTGAATTTGATAAAGAATCAACAACAGTATAATGCAATTATACCTTTTTTTTCAGATTTTAGAACTTAAAAATAATAATATTCGTAATGTAGGAAACAAGTATTTACTGATTTTTGAAAATTTAAAAAGTCTCAAAAGCATAACTCTCAGTGGTAATCCTTTGATATGTGGTCCAAATTTCGAAAAACTTAAAAATTATATCAAAATTAAAGATAGAAATAATCTAACTTGTCATGATGAACCATTAATACCGAGTGAAAAAAGTAAACCCATTTTTGAAGAACCAAAAGAAACTTATTCTCTATTTGCAAAATATTCATTATGTTCTGTAGAAAGAGAAGATGTGGAGAAGTCTTGGCAAGAGCAATGTTCAATTCCACAAATAGATGAAACCACACGAAAAGAAATGCTATCGAAATTTCAGCCATAAATTTATGATTGAGAGTTCTGGTTGAATTGGTTATACAGTCTATCAAATTGGTAGGTAAGTTAGGTTATATTAGCCATGTGAAGTCTGATTCAGACATTTTGCTCTTCGGAAGTACTATTCGTTTGGTTGGATTACCCAAACTGTATGGTAGTAACAGTTCCATGTTAATTCAGTTATACGATATGACAGAAACAGCATGAATTATGGCAGTAATTACGAAAAATTTCTTTCAGTGCACTAAAGTAATGGAGACGCATAAATAATGCCTAAAATTAATTTGTTAGAATTAGAATTAAAGGCTGCTTCCACAATAGCTAAAATCGCATCATCTTGAGGAGAATTTTTTACGACGAAACGATGCGTGCGCACATCCATTGCCAAATGTCGACAAAAAATTTATTTCACATGTACTAAAAATTAAAAAAAAAAAATTCTTCAGATGCAAGGATATAAAATTTGTATTTTTTTTTAACAAATCAAATTTTTGTATAAGTTCAATAATATTTACAAGTTAAAATTGTAGAAATAGTGGAAATTTTTTTTTGTCAACAGTTGGCAATGGATGCGCGCGCATCGTGTCGTCCTAAAAAATTGTCATCAAGACGATGCGATTTTAGCTATTGTGGAATTAGCCTAAGTAACAGAATTTCTATTTCATCGAATTTACTACCGTCAGAAACTTTTAGGTGTGAATTTAAAAATTAATCAATCATCAGATATACACAAAAATTTTGATTGGTTAATTTTAAAATTCGCGTCAAAATATTTTTATATTGTATATCTGTAAAAAAAAATGTTATGAATTCACAATTTTGTATTTGGAATGCAAAAAAAAAAAAAAAAAATGAAACACAGCATGAGGGACGCGGTTAGTGAACTTGTATTATTCAGTGTAGGATGACCCCCATGAAGGTTTTGCTACCATGATTAAGCATTTTTCTCACAGTTATATACTCTTCCGGTATTCTAGAAAGCTGGGATTAATTTACATTTATAATTTAGTTTGATGTTGATGGTAGCTTAGAATGCGATTAAGGTTAGGTTTTACATCCTTTCAATTCAATCAAATGTAGTAAATAACGGACTTTCGATTTATTTACATTTTTATTCTAATTATAAACCAGCTGTTTGCAATGCAAAAAAGATCGAAAAAAATCACTCAATTTTAAAATTAGCAAATTAGTATCTTTTTTCTCCGTAATCCTCAAAAATACAAATATCTTTCGTAGTTTTATTTGTTTCATTAAAAAAAAAACACTTTTCCAATAAATGGTTTTTAGTGAAAATTTTATTTACTCAAATTAATAAAAATTAATATAAAATAATAATATCACTCATTTCTTTTTTATAGCAAGAAATTGATTAAAATATTTTCCTTTTACTTTTTAAGTTTCATTTTTCTTATATTTAAATATAAAATTAAAATATAATAATTTGTTATCATAGAAGTGACAATATTACTTTCAAAATTCTAATTAGAATAATTTAAAGTGCAAAACGTTAATAAACAAAAGTTTGAAAAAAATATAGTATACATATAATATATGCAAACAGTCGGGTATATGTAAAAAAAAAAAGAAAAAATAATTGGACGTAGTTTCTGGGGCAAAAAAATTTCGGCAAGATAATCACTGTGTTTGAGAAGTCAATGGTGGAGAAAGGGCGAAAGGGCATTATAAGGAAAGTCAAAGGTAGACCGACCAAAGTAAGTGTCGCTCGTCATAAAGTGAAGGCGATACCATACTTTCCCCGGTTTTTTACTGACACGTCACGAACACATGTGTGTGGTTCATTTAATTCGAGGTGTCAAATTGAAGACGCATTCACTATTAACATACAATACTTCATGTAGATTTACTGTACGTTAAATTCACGTCTAATATTTTGTCTCCAATTTTATATATATATATATATATATATATATATATGTGTGTGTGTGTAGCGTACAATTTAGTTATTGCTATTATTAAAATTTTTTTTCTAAAATTTAACAAAAATTAAATTATACACGCGTTTTAATGAAAAAGGCTTCATCATGACGCACAAAACTGGGAACAAAAATTAACATCGAAAAAATGATTAAAAAAATTTTATTTTCCACCGACACCATATAGAATTTAATTCTACTATCTTAAACAATAAGAAAATGACAGTAGTAAATAAATTAATTACTGCATTTTAGTAAAAACATAATTTCTAAATAAATGTTACGGGGACAAGCTTCACCATGACAATGTGACTCTGTAATTTGCATTTAAAAAATAAATTATGTTAGGAATAGAAGTGTCTATTGGTTATTATGTTTGTAAACACAGAAATTAATTTTTCACGTTGGATTCAATTACAATATATGCAACTTACTCTCTAAATCTGAATTAGTAAAAATGTTTACTAATTTGAATTAGTTTCTCACTTTTTGCTTCTGAATTAGTTAAATTTTACTAATTGTTAGTAAAAGTTACTAGTAATTAGTACAATTTTACTAATTCAGAAGCAAGAAGTGAGTCACTAATTCAAATTAGTAAACATTTTTACTAATTCAGATTTAGAGAGTACTTCTTAAAAAACATATGAGACAAAAAATTGTTCGCTACGTGGAGAAACACTCATATATATCATATAAACATCTTATCATTAAATTACAAAGGCCGACAAAATTTTGGCCTACTTCAGAACCAAGATCCAGACTTTACTTTTCCGAAGCATTTTGAATCCAAATCTGACATCAGAATTTGCTCCAGTGCTTCAGGTTTTCGAGATATTCTAACCTAAAAGTGCAGAAAATACTTTTTTGACCATATTTGAGGGCAAGTAACATCAAGAGATAATTTTTTTTTTTCAAAAAGGTCGTTACAGCATCTGAAAGTACTATTCTTACCCCTTAAAATGTATTTTAATACTTAAAAAAAACCTTTATTTGGTTCTGAGTTATCGTCATTTGAATTTTTTTAAGACATATTATCTGATACACGAATATTGAAACATTTAACACTCAGAAATTTCGCAAATGACGATAACTAAGAGCCAAATAAAGATTTTTTAAAGTTTCAAAATGCATTTTTAAGGGTAAGAATAGTAAATTTCAGATGCTGCAACGAATTTTATGAAAAAAAAAATTATCTCTTAATGTTACATGCCCTCAAATATAGTTAAAAAACGTCTTTTCTGTACTTTTAGGTTATAATATCTCAAAAACCTGAAGTGCTTGGTCAATTCTGAGGTCAGAATCAAATTCAAAATGCTTCGCAAAAATATTAGTCTGCTTCTTGGTTTTGAAGTAGGTCAAAATTTTTTCGCAAGTTTAAAAATGAAAATAGCTAAGGTTTTTTAAGACTCTTGTCAGTGATGTCATAAAACCCTTAAAGTAAAAAAAAAATAAAAACCAAGACAGATGGTGCAATTAGCCAGAATTGTACACTGGACTCACGATGTGTCTCATAAGTTATAGCCGTGTCCTGCGCGGCGTTGAGTTGTCTATATAAATTCCCGTTTATTGGTCCAGTTTTTCCACGAACAACGCTTTACTTTTACTTTGGGCTAAAGCTATATATATATATATATTCTTAAAAAGTTATTGGAAATTCGTTTTGGAATTCGTCATTATAATCACGATCGACCCAAAAAAAAAAAATATTCAATGCCCCTTATAATATATAAGGTTATTAATATTATATTATAATATATAACAATATAATAATAATAAATAATAATAATAATAATAATAATAATAATAATAATAACCATAATAATATTAAACACTCATAAGAATAAGAATTAAAATAGCAAATGGAAAATTTTTATTTAATTTTCCAAGAGCATTTTATTATTATTAAAAAAATAGTAAACTGTTTTTCATCCAATTCTCTGCATAATTATCGGATTCAACTCAAATTTCGCAATATTTCCTTGTGCAATATGTCTCTGATTCAATTTTTCAATTGTTTCTTAATATTTCTATATAATAATATAATTGGTGTAATTATGGTATACCAAATACATTTTGTCTCTTTGGTCTTCTCCAATAAATTTTTCACAATTTCAACATTATGAAATACAAGATTTATATTTTTTTTCATCTACATCCATTTAAATAAAATGATATAGGTTTATTTTAATTTATTTAAATCAACAGAAAAAATAATTCACTTAAAATAAATAATAAAAGTATTTCATTATTGTAAAATGATAATTTAGTAAAAAAAAAAAAAAAAAAAGAAATCAGTATAAATATTTTTTTTTTACAAAATAATTTTTATGATAATGAGAAAAAAGGAAATTTGAAAGATTGTAAGAAATATTTTTTTTTTTTGGGAGGGGGAGGAGAGAAACGTTCAAGATAAACATTAAATAAATTAGGACACGCTTTTGATCCTCCGATATATTCGATTTAATTATCAATCAATCTTTGTAATATGACCAATCATCAGTACTCTAGATAAGAACAAGAAGTACAAGAACATTAAAGTAAAAAATTAATCTTTGATCGATTGTTTCCGTTTTAAAAATTACATTGCTGTAGAAAGGGGTTTTTTAAATTAAAAACTTTTTTTTTTAAATTTAAAATGTGCAAAAAATATGAAAATGTTATTTTTTGTTTTCGAAATATTAATTAACAAATGTTAATAAAAAATTAAATATTGAGCCCAATTCTGAATTTTTTTCAATTTCAAAATTTTTGTCAAATCAAAAACATATTTTATTTTTCATAAAAATTTAACAAAATAAAAAGTAAAAAACATTTTTTTTTTTTTGAATGGAAATATCACATAGAATGACCAGTTAATCAAAATTTTTTTTAATTTAATATTTTGATGAAAGTGATGCATTGAATTTTTATTTAAGTTTTTAATAAGGTGTAGAAAAACTAGTTTTGAAAAGAAGGAGCTCTTCGGTTATTAAATTATACGGAACGAGATGAAATAAATAGAAGAAAAAAAAAAAAAAAAACGAGTACGGACAGTCGGATAAATTGTCTCGACTTTCAAAACAATGCCCATAGATCATTTCTGGATCATTCTCATTGCAAACTTCATATTATACCAATACAATTCATGGTGAAAGTGAAATCAATCAGAAAGCAACAATTGCCATTATAATAGCTATAGATATAATAAAAGCGCATGAAATCGGATAATTTTGTTTATTTCCATTCAAACGATATTTAAATTTAAAAAAAAATAAATAGAGAAAAAAAATTTTTAAAAACAAAGAAAAGAAAAAGAAAACACATTTCTCAGAGAGGAAAAGAGTAAACACATTTTAAAATTAGATCACCAGTGTAGCGTCATTATGCGCACGCATGCTCAAAGAGAGGGGCGAAACGCACTATGATTGGTGTTCCTCCTTCTCCACCATAATGCGCACGCATTCTCATATTTCAATATAATTAAACAATCACGAAAAATAATAGAGATGTGCAAATAGTTCGAATTCGAATTAGCTAATAAAAAAATAAACAAATTTTATATTTATGAAATAAAAATATTTATATATATAATAATCAATAAATTAAAAAATAAAATGTGTTTAATGACATTTTTATTAACAATATCATAAAAATAAAATAAACAATAAATTGTTTCGAATTAAATTCGAATCGATTCGATAATTTTTTAATTTTAAATTCAATTCCAAATAATTGTAATTGATTCGATTCGAGATCTAAAATTCCTGATTCGCACATCTCTCTAAAAAAAAAGAAGAGAAATTCATTACACATTTCTTTGACAATTTGTTTCTTCTAGAAAGTAATATTAGAAAATGATTTTAAAAAAAATCAAACATCAGAAAATACAATTTTTAAAATAAAACAAAATCGTCAAAAAAAAAAGAGTGGAAAATGTAATTTTTTTTTTTTCTAAAATTAAATTTAATTCAATTGATATACATATAGGTATATATACATATTAAATGATACACAAATTAATCGACCAATTCGCCGACTAATTGGTAATCTTGCGAAATTATAGCATTTTCGGTCTGATTACTTTATGCACCCAATTATTTCGCGTATATATACACGAATGACCATACAAAATTCACTAAATGCAGGATGTTTACTTCGCAATGCTCGTATTTTTTTTTCGTCTTTTTAACTTGAATGTCGCACGTTCACGCGTTTCGAATAATCACGTAAATCGACGGCTGCCGCGTTAATTAAAGTCTCGATTTAAATATTCAATGTTTTCAACTCTTGCTTTTGTACTATATATATATATATATATATACAAAACACCATTTAAAAGATACCTCCTTCAGATTAAATATTGATTTTGCAATACAAACTTGTCGCTGCTTTTTTTTTCTCTCTCACTCTCACGATAGAATCGCAATTTAACCATAATTTACTTTTACATGAACTTGGTCCAAATTAAATTCTCTTTAATAAAAAAAAAAAGAATTTTTTTTGTTATTTAATTTATTGTATTTTATTAAAATTAATTTCTAAAATAAAGATCGATAAAATCAATAGTAATAGTAACATTTCAACAACCAATAAAAAAAATTTGCAATGTTTATTTTTCTTTTTTTTTTTTGAATTAAGCGATATTCGACATTAAATTTCCAAGTGCGTGCGCTGTTTATTTCAATTTGATTAATGATAAACAAGATAAAACTTAATTCTCAGTTTTCAATAAAAGCTTCGTATTTGTCAACTTTCTATTTCACAGATTCGCAGTTATTACCAGTGATCGTAAATTAAAATCCTTTTAATTTAGAGAAAGGATAAAAAATATAGTCATTTGGATAAATTTAAATTTTTCGAATATTGGAAAATATTTTTAAAATATTCGTCACTTTCTCTCATATACGAAAGGAAATTTAAAAAAAAAATCGATTCTAATTTTAGCTATTTTTTTTTTAATAAATATATATATTTAGGATATATACACAATACACCAATCTTTGTCACTTAAATTCAATAAATTATAAACACTATTATTTTTGGGAGTAACATTTGATTAAATTAAACAAACGCATATGGTTTCATTAAACAAACATTCTCTTAAAGTAAATAAATTATTGATTGAAAATTAACCAAAAATTTTTTTTTTTAAATTATCGAAACGCATAATTGTATTAAGAAAACATTTTATTGAAACAAATATTTGAATAAATAACCTAAACGCTTGATTACATGAAATAAACAAACATTTGATCAAATTAACCAAATGTTTGATTGTGTTAACTGAATATTTGATTAATTACCCAAACATTTGATTTAGAGGAAAAAAAACTTTTGAGAAAGAGTAAACAAACATTTGTACAAATAACCCAGATACTTGATTAAATTAACCATATTTTTCTTGAATTAACCAAACATTTGATTAAAATCAAACATTAAATTATGTTGACAATTGATTAAATTAAGCAAAATTTATTTGTATTAACTATTGAGCAAAATTAACGCAACATATGGACGTATCAACCATTTGATTACATTAACCAAATATAGAGTTGCACCAACCATTTGACTAAAATCACCAAATAATTTGACTGAATTTACCAATCATATGGTTCTACAATCTACAATTACATTAACTAAAATTTTTAAATATATTGACCAAACATTTGATTTAATTAACCAATTAATCAAACGTTTAGTAAAAAACGATCAAACATTTGGTTAATTTAATCAAATGTTTGATCGTGTTAACTAAACGTTTTGATTAATTTTTTGTTGAATCAATCAAACATTTGTTTCAATTAAACATTATATTGTGCCAAAGATTTGATTAAATTGACCAAACATATGGTTATACCAACCATTTGACTAAATTAACCAAACATATGATCCACAAATAATTTAATTGAAGTAAACAAACGTACTAAATTAAACACTGCACATTTGATAAAATTAACCAAACTTTTTGATTGAATTAACCAAACATTTTATTAAACTTATACATAACGTTAAACTATATTGAACAAACATTTAATTAGATTAACTAAACATTTGGTAAAAGTTAAATTAACCAAACATTTGATAAAATTAATCAAACGTTTCCTTATATTCCCCAAATATATTATTGAAGCAGAAAACAAAAAAAAAATTGATTAATTTGACCAAACAAACATTTGAAAACCATTTACCCCAATTAAATAGACCAGTAGGTTGCGAGACAAATATATGTTTATTTAACTTAAATATATTATATTTGGTTCAAATAAAACATTTCTCTGGGTGTTGTGAAGAATTTGTGCAATAAAATTAAAATCCATTCGAATTGTAAAATAGGGAAAAATTGGCAAAAAAATGAATATTAATTTACCTGCTTCGAGGGGATCCACGTGTGGGTGGTGGCAAAATATTCCCAGTAATATTATTATTGTTGACATGTGCATTTCGAATGCTGCGCTGATCGGCAGAAGTCCGCGGTAACCTGGGACTTCCGGCGAGAGCAAAGCTCAGCAAACAAGCGGTAAGTACCGCTCTTCTCATTGTGAGAATTTCTCAATTTTTCACCGAATAATTAAATCACTTTTTATCACGAAACACACGAAGCTCACTTTCAAATGAAAACAACTTTTAAACTTTCCTCCTCGACCAATTTGATCTTTTCTTGTTTCACTGGTTTTTTTTTCTTTTTTTTCTTTCCTTTTTGCAAAGTACGCCTGGCACTTTTCCAATATAAAGTTCACACTGTAAGATTCCTTATTTGCACCTGATGTCGATGAATAATAAATCCTTATATGCAAATACGAAGTTTACACTTAAAAAGTAATCAATCAAGTCACTTGGTTTTTTTTAGTATTATTTACGATCGAATTTTTTTTTTAACTATTACAGAGAAAAAAAAAGAGATAAAAAAAACTTCCTCTTTTTAATATTTATTTATTTTTTTTTTTTTATCAAAATATTTACAATGAAAAAATTTTTAAATTTCTTTTTGATAGATTTTTGAAAATTATTTCTTATTAGAAATAAAAATAAAAAATCGAGTATTTCTTTAATTGTAAATTTTTAAAAATCTATTTTTGAGAAAGATTTTTTTTTATCACTTTTTTTTTAACCGCGTTTTACTCTCGTTACCTTTTTTTTCAAAGAAACTGATTAAATAATAATTACGTGAGAAAAAAAAAATAACTCGCGAAACTGTGAATTTAAGAAAAAGCGTTTTCATGAACTCGTGAAAAGCGGGATCCGTGCGGAGAGTCTGCGACTCGAAAAGTGTCTGTTAAAGTCCTGTCGTCTCTGTTTCGCGTGGCCTCTCGTCGGCTGTTGTAACGTGGGGTTACCCCCGTTGTAAACTCAGTCCACAGGTAAGTAGAACCGCGGGCACGCGTTCTCAGTCAAGCAAAGACTTACTTTCACATAAGCCGGTGTGTCCGCCTTCCGTAAAGTGGGGATTCTGATCACCACAAATATATATATATATATATATATATATATATATATATATCATCCAAAAGGATCCCGCACACATTTTGTAAAAAAAATAGAAAAAAAAAATAATACAACCCAAGCAAAAATTTCTGTTAAACGCCGATAACAGTTTTCATTAATCAACAAATTATAAAAAAATATTTTTTAGGCAAAAAATTATAGAATTTTTCATTTTAAAAAATTATTTCTTTAAAAATCGTTTATATAAACGTTGCGTACTTCAGCTTCCTGACAACAGGCGCAATAATGCACCAATACTGGCTGGCCGACAGTTGGTTTACCAGAATTGGTTCACAGTAAACTTGGTTGTATCTTTTTCTATTGCAACGTTTTGATGCACATAAGTTATATCAAAAAGAGATCGTTTTGTGTATAATTTTTAGAAATGATACACGAAACGGTCTCATTTTTTGATGCAAAAAATTGAATCAATTTATATCAATCATGGCCGAATTGAATCGACTCAAAATTAAACGAATTTTTTTCAGATATTTTGGTAATAGTACAATTGCGGAGACCATTTCACTATTTAATTTGAAAATGAAAATAACAGAAAATCAAAGACAATGTGCAATTCGATAATTAAAAAGTGACAGCTTATAAACATAACCTAAAATGCATGAGAAAAAATTTGTCGATAAAATCAATATAGCCGAGCTTTTTAGAAGGTAGATGGCAGCACTCATCTATTTTCTTTCTTTAAATTTTTTCTGAATCGTTTTTATAAAAAGCAAAACTGCCATCTACCTTCTAAAAAGCTCGGCTATATTGATTTTATCGACAAATTTTTTCTCATGCATTTTAGGTTATGTTTATAAGCTGTCACTTTTTAATTATCGAATTGCACATTGTCTTTGATTTTCTGTTATTTTCATTTTCAAATTAAATAGTGAAATGGCCTCCGCAATTGTACTATTACCAAAATATCTGAAAAAAATTCCTTTAATTTTGAGTCGATTCAATTTGGCCATGATTGATATAAATTGATTAAATTTTTTGCATCAAAAAATGAGACCGTTTCGTGTATCATTTTTAAAAATTATACACAAAACGATTTCTTTTTTGATATAACTTATGTGCATCAAAACGTTGCAAAGATTTGATGCAATTTTTGGGCTCAATTTGATACTTTTAGGAAAACTGTGAATTCAGTACTGATATGGATTAAATGTGGTGCATGATTATCTGATAAAAATCATTAGCTAGAATTTTCATTTGTATGAATTTCATTTGATAGAATTTCTATTTAGACGAATTTTCATTTTTCGAATTAGTATTTAAATTACTTTCTTTGTAAACGAAATTTTATTTAACATAGTTTTTAGGTACCGAATTTTAATTTAATATAATTTTTATTTTACCAAATTTTTTGTTATCCAACTTTTTATTTTATAGAATTACAATTTAAACCAATTTTAATTTATCAAAATTCGCATTCAGTAGAATTTTAGATGATTCGAATTTTATAATGTCAGAGTTTTTAAACTATTGAATTTCCATGTGTCAGAATTTTTATTTACACGAATTGTTATTTGATAGAATTCCTAAAGTAGAGAATTTCCATTTGATAGAAATTACAAATGGCCGAACAAGCAAGCGTCAGAAAGATTTCGGCGTTAATTTTAAAATAAACCAATCACAATTTTCTTAATAATTTCTGATTGGTCTATTTTAAAAATTGCGCCGAAATCTTTCTGACGTTTGTTTGTTCGGCCATCTGTAATTTCTATCAAATGAAAATTCGCTGTTTCAGAAATTCTATCAAATAACAATTCGTGTAAATAAAAATTCTGACCATTATTTTTTTTTTAAAAAATTCGCTCTCCTTTTGAAACTGCTATGCTCACATGGTAAAAAATTTATCCACAAAATTTTCTAATAGAGGAGACCGGGGCTGTTTGGCGCAGGGGTTGCTTGGCGCACTTGAGTTTATTCAAAAGTGTTAAGTTACATTAATTTTTCTCTTTATTCTGCTTAGAGTACTTGATGAACTGTAAGTTTGTACAAAATTTCATTAATATTCATTAATTATTGCGTGGAGTATAGATTAAAATAACTGATTTTGGCACTCCAAAGTAATTTTTTAACCTCTTCATTTTTTTGTGATATCTCTTTAAAAAATTAATTTTAGAAGAGCTCAAGTTTTGAGCTCTATACATTTTTTATTAAGAAACAAAAAAAAATTTTTGATTTATATTAACAGTTTTTATAAAAAATTAATACATATTTCAAAAGTACATTCGGGGTTAGGTGGCGCGGTTATCTGAAAATTTCGTTAAATATTAATAAAATGAAGTTGATTATATGAAATTTACACATTAATAAGCACCAATAACAATCCTATTCAAAAAATTTAACCGAATAATGGTTTTTAAATATTCACAGCGTTATTATCAAAAAAATATATATTTTTTGGTAATTTTACGATTTCATTTAATTTAAATGAAATTTTCTAATTTTTAAATTTAAAATAATTTTATTGTAAAATTACAGTACAAGATTTATTTTGTTAAGTCTTATATTATTTAAACTTTAAATCATATAATTTAATTTTAATTTCACTCCTGCGCCACGCAACCCCGGGCCGGGGTTGCTTGGCGCGCTTTGCACAGCTTCAAATAAAGTGGTATAAAAATAAAAGTATTAAATATATTTTAACTATCTTTTTTTTAAATTAAAGCTGATATATTACAACAAGTTTTCTAAACATTAACTTTTTAAAAAAAGCAAAAATGAGTGAGTTACACAACAAAGAGTAAAAAGTGCGCCAAGTAACCCCGGTCTCCCCTACATATCGCCACACAGGTTTTTGTTTTTTTGGAGATTAAAGTTGTAGGTGCCAAAAAGGCCATTTTTTGACACTTTGACGTACCATTATTATACGGGACACATAATTACGTTCTAAAAATCATTATAGTTAGAATTTTTATTTTATGAAATTTCATTTGTCATTATTTTTGAGCCGAATTTTTATTTGTTCGAATTAGTATTTTGTAGAATTTTCATCAAAACGATTTTCTGTAATTACAGAATTTTTATATAACCGAAAATTCACTTCACAGCATTTTTATTTGTTCGAATTTTTATTTGCTCCAATTTTCATTTTAGCATAATAGGCATTTTAAAAAAATTTGATTGGGTAGAATTTCATTGTATTCACAGAAAATTATAAGGTATTAAAATAAGCAGCAACGCTTATTATTTTAATCCAATTTTGCTTATTTTAATACCAAAATGAATTAAAATAAGCAAAATTGGATTAAAATAATAAGCGTTGCAGCTTATTTTAATGCCTTTTAATTTTCTGTGTTGAATTTTCCTTCAGATGAATTTTCATTTGTTTGAATTATTATTTGATATAATTTCCATATAACCGATTTTTCATACAACAAAATTTTTACTTAACCGAAAAATCATTAAACAGAATTTCTAATTGATAGAATTTTCATTTGTCCGAAATTTCAAATGTCCGAACAAACAATTGACAGAAAGATTTCGGCGCGATTTTTAAAATCATTCAATTAAAAATTATCCATAAAATTGTGATTACTTGATTTTTAAAATCGCGCCAAAATCGATTGTTTGTTCAACCATTTGCAATTTCGGACAAATGAAAATTCTATGAAATAGAAATTCTATTAAATGATTTTTCGGTTAAGTAAAAATTTTGTAGTATGAAAAATCGGTTATATGGAAATTATATCAAATAATAATTCGAACAAATGTAAAATTCATCTGAAAGAATAAAATGAAAATTCTTTGCAATGAAATTCTACCCAATAAAAATTCTTTAAAATGCCTATTATGTTAAATTAAAATTCGAGCAAATAAAATTCTAACAAATAAATATTCGAATAAATAAAAATTTTGTGAAGTGAATTTTTGGTTATATAAAAATTTTATAATATAGAAAATTGTTTTAATGAAAATTCTGTAAAATACTAATTCGAATAAATAAAAATTCGGCGCAAAAATAATAATTATGACAAATGAAATACGAAAAAATGAAAAACTAATGATTTTTAGAACATAATCATGCGTCTCTATTATACTTGTATAGTACGAGTATTATTTGTTTATTTCAGAAGTACGACGTACTGGTATTGTACTAGTATTATACTTTTCTATCAGGTTGGATAGAACAACTATTTATCCAAATTTTCTCCACCTCATCTCTAGGTAAAGCACATAAAAGATGCGCAGATTCAGAATAAAGTTGTTTTTTTTCAATCAATGTTGGTGATTCATTACGACAAGTTAGTTTATATCTATCTTCAATTTTAATAATATTTTTAAGTTTTTGAAAATTTGATCCACATTTCAAAGGATTACCATTTAAAGTAATGCGTACGAGTTTTTTTAAAGAGTTCAAAATCTCTATGTCATTATTATTTACGTCTTGAATTTCATTATTATTAAGTTCTAAAATCTGAAAAAAATATATATATATCATTGAATTATATTGATGACAATTATTCCCAATATTAAGCAAATCATTATATTAAAATCTATACCTTAAGATTCACATACGCATTAATACCAGAGAGACTTTTAATTTTATTTCCAGAAAGTATTAATTTCGTAATAAATTTTATTTCCTCACTACCAAACATGGGAATATGTTCTAAATTATTATTTTCAAAATTCAATTCATTATCAAAAGTAATAATAATTCCAAGATTACTCGGAACCATTGTAAAACCAATATTGGAACAATTTATTAATGATAGTTGTTTTTCAAGATAATAAGTTGGAGTACATGATTTTTTATTATCATTAGAAGTTTTAATAGTTATCTCACACGATAAATGATCACTGGTTAAAGTAGAAAATATTTTCCCCTCATGTTTTTTTGGTCCATTGCATTTTAAATTATTTGTATTTATATCTAAATGTTGATAAATTTTCTTTTCCATATTGCCCTTTGTGAACTGTAAAAATTTATCATTTACACAGTCACAAATAATAGGATTATCTCTTGCATCTATATGCATTTTAAATAATGTCAAAAATTTTATTGATGATAATGAAAATAATTCAATTCCTTCTATTTGATTGTTGGTTAAGTCAATGTAAAAGTCTGATCTCATTGTAAAATTGTGTTTTAACTGGAAAAAAAAATTTAATTAGCAACGTAACTTGAAAATTTAATTAAAAACAAAAAAACAAAGCTGTTTTGAGTTAAATTTTTCTAAAAATCATTATCCCAGTAACTTACTTTAAAATGCGTTATCTGATTGTGCGAAAGATTTAAGGACTTTAATTTCATTTCGGATAATTCAATCCAATCGTCATAAAATATTTCAATTTTATTGAAGGAAAGATCCAATTCTATTAGATTATTACAGGGAAAAAATACTGAATAATTATTCCAAAATGCGGCAATATTTGATATTTTAGTCTTTTTACTTAAAGATGAAATATCTGTCATATTATTGTTTGCAAGACTTATTCGTTCTAACTTTAATAAATTTATAAATGCATTTCTATGAATTGTATCTATTGAATTGTCAGCTGCATTAAATACTATCAAATTGTGTAGTTTGTTTAAGAAGAATCTAAATCAAAAAATATTTTATTGTTTTAAATGAAAAACTGCGTCGAAAAAACGATTCTCGACTACTCGCCCTAAAACCAGTCAAACGGTTTTGTCACAAAAAAAGTGACGTAAAATGACATTCAAAATTTTGATTTTTGAAAACTTCTAACTTGTTGGTAATGAAAAGGCGCATTTTTTTTGAGGCCTATAAATTTCCCCTAAAAATCATTATAGTTACAATTTTTATTTTAAAGAATTTTATTGCATTATTTTTCAAACAAAGTTTCATTTTTTGAATTACCATTTGGGAGAATAATTTCTTTTTAAAAGAATTTTTACTCAAAAAAATTTTTAGGTAACAAATTTTTATTTTTTTAGAATTTTTTTTTACTCAACTTTTTATTTTAAAAATTCTAATTTAATCGGATTTTAAAATAGCAGAATCGCATCGAAATCTTTCTATTGATTTTATATTCGGACAATTTTCAATTTCGAACAAATGGAAATTCGACATTTTAAGAATAAGAATTCGTGCAAATAAAAATTCAAACAAATGAAGATTTGGTAAATTAGAAATTTGGACATTTAAAAAAATGTAACACTTAAGGATTAATCAGAAAAAGAATCGGAACAAAAGTTAATCCAACTGTGTATTTTTTTTGTATTTTTAAAGAAAAAGATGGTTTCAATTTAATTCATTTGTTATTACATAATTTTTGATAAAACATACAGACTTTTTTTGACAAATAAAGTAATAATTTCTCAATATCTGGTATTAACTGGTGTATTTTTAACATTTAGCAAACTGAATTTTTTTTTAATGTTTAAATTAAATAAATATGAGTAGTATTGAAAATGTGTATTAAATATATTTCTAAAGTTTGATAACTTAGTTATTTTTTGTATAAATAAATTTTAAGTAATATGTGTAACCAGAGATATATTAAAAATGGTATTTAAAAAATGTTGAAGGAAAAAAATGATGTGGCTTTTCAATCTCAACAAAGTCCTATTTTCAAAAAAGTCAAAATTTTTATTTTTAATTTTCTTCACTTTTTAGGAAATTTGACTGGTTTCAAAGCGAGTTCTTCGACGCAGCTTCTCATATGGGGCATTCGATGGGAAATTTTCGTTCAAAAAATTTTTTTCGCTCAAAAATTTTTTTTTTTGAAATCTATATGAAAAAAAAGTAAATACGTATTTTTTTTATTTTTTTATTTGATTAAAATGAAGGGAGTTTTGATTTTTTAAAATTTAACATCATCAAAGGCAGTGTATTATTAAAACATTTTTTTATCTATTGTACTAATGAATAAAAAATTATGCTGTATATGAAATTATTTCATTTTTTCTCAAATTATTCAAATATGTGCTCAAAAATAATATACCTATAACGGAAGCAAAACAAAAAAATTGAAATTAAATTTAAAAAGTGAGTTTTCTCAAAGATGGACACATTCGATTTATAATTTTTTTTTTGCACTGCAATCTCATTAGTACAAAAATAAAAAAAATGTTTTAAAAATACACTGCCTTTGATGACGTTAAATTTAAAAAAAATCATAACTCCATTTTTATCAAATAAAAAAAATTTTTAAATACATATTTTCTTATTTTTCATATAAATTTAAAAAAAAAATTGATTTTTCACAAAATTGGTCAAAACACCAAGGACCATTATCTTATAAATTTTCTAAATCCGAAAGATTGTACGAATCCATACAAAAAAGCGATTGAAAAACGAAAAGTAGGAAAGTAATATAATGACAGGTTCATTACGTCCTGCCACCGTCAGATGGCAGAAGCATGCAAAGAGCACAAAGTCGCCACTGTTATTATATTACTTTCCTACTTTTCGTTTTTCAATCGCGTTTTTGTATGGATTCGTACAATCTTTCAGATTTAGAAAATCTATAAGATAATGATCCATGGTGTTTTGGCCGATTTTGTGAAAAATCAATTTTTTTTTGAAATTTATATGAAAAATAAGAAAATACGTATTTTTAAAATTTTTTTATTTGATAAAAATGGAGTTATGATTTTTTTAAATTTAACGTCATCAAAGGCAGTGTATTTTTAAAACCTTTTTTTTATCTATTGTACTAATCAGATTGCAGTGCAAAAAAAAATTATAAATCAAATGTGTCCATCTTTGAGACAACTCACTTTTTAAATTTAATTTCAACTTTTTTGTATAGTTTCCGTTATAGATACGTTATTTTTGAGCACATATTTGAAAAATTTGAGAAAAAATGAAATAATTTCATATACAGCATAATTTTTTATTCATTAGTACAATAGATAAAAAAATGTTTTAAAAATACACTGCCTTTGATGACGTTTAATTTAAAAAAATCATAACTCTATTTTTATCAAATAAAAAAAATTTTAAAATACATATTTTCTTATTTTTCATATAAATTTCAAAAAAAAATTGATTTTTCACAAAATCGGCCAAAACACCAAGGATCATTATCTTATAAATTTTCAAAATCCGAAAGATTGTACGAATCCATACAAAAAAGTGATTGAAAAACGAAAAGTAGGAAAATAATATAATAACAGTGGCGACTTTGTGCTCTTTGCATGCTTCTGCCATCTGACGGTGGCAGGACGTAATGAACCTGTCATTATATTACTTTCCTACTTTTCGTTTTTCAATCGCTTTTTTGTATGGATTCGTACAATCTTTCGGATTTAGAAAATTTATAAGATAATGGTCCTTGGTGTTTTGGCCTATTTTGTATAAAATGTCACATGTTTCGACAAAAAATTATTTTAAAATCAATGTTTACGTTTCATTTTCACGTTCAGTGCGGTTTTATAGGGCGATAATTTTTATAATTAATTGAAAAAAAAGATATAATATTTAATATAAAAATTTACTCTGATATTGTTGTGAGTTTATTTCGTTGAAGATTCAGTTTATTAAGTTGTTTTAAATTTTGAAAAATATTATCATCAAGAATTTCCAATTGATTGTCACTGAGATCAAGATCAGTTAGTTTAGTTAAAGTATTGAATGTTCTAGGATGAATATACTTTAATTTATTCTCCGACAAATCCAATTTTAATATTGTCGTTAAATGACTAAATGCATTTTCATTAATTATTTCAAAAGAACATTTTTTTATCGTTAAATATAAAGTGTTAAGAACACTTTCTAAAAATCTTTCAGGCACTATTCGTAAAAATGTTAGGCCTATAATTTTTAATTCAGGCTGTGAATATACATATTTATATGGATTGTTATTATTATTATTATTATTATTATTATTATTATTATTATTATTATTATTTTTAGGATATTCTAAATAATTAATTTTTTGAATATAATCGGCAACATTTAGTTCTTTAATTTTCTGTGCATCTGCATTTTTGATAATAATACAATTGTCTTGAACAATAGTTGTTAAATATAATTTTCCAAAATTAATGTCATTATTAAAATTGTTTAAACTAATTGAATTTATGCATTTTATGGTAAATTCTAAAGTTTCAATAGAATTTACATATAGTTGAGGATTGATTTCATTTATAGTGACTGAGGGATGAATACATGAGAATTGTATAATTGTATTATCAATTTTTTTACAATTGCAATTTTTTCTATATTTTTCGGGGCAAATGTATGAAGTAACAATTGTTACTATCAGAAAGACTGAGAGCAGTCTCAAAAAATTCTTCATTGTATTTTACTGATTTTTGAGTTTTTTTTTTAGCTGAAATAACAGGAGAAAAAATTAAATAAAGTTATTTTTTTTATTAAGACTAATAAATTTTGTTTTAAAAAATTAAATTGTTTTTTATATTCGTGAATTTATCACAAATTGAGAATGAATGTTTTAATTATAGTTTTTTATTGAAAGAATATATTTATATAAAAATTTAGAATTTATTTCATGTACTTACTTGGTTTTATTTCTGAACAAACTTTAATAAGAATAGAAAGACAATCGTTTTATTCGTAATACGAAAAATAGTCAAAAATTTTTTTTTTTATGTATACGTACAAATTGTGTTATTTGTAGACACAAGTGAATAAATTGATATCTTATTATTGCAACACTTTATGTTTGTAAACCATATAATATACAGTTTACATAGTCATAATTTATGGATGAATATTTAACACATAAGTTTATTTTGATAAAATATAATATTTAATTAATGTCGTGTTATTTGTACAATTTTTTTTATGACTAAATGAAATAAAATGAAATTTAAACTATTAGTTTTAGAGAATATTTATTTATTTATTTATTTGGAACATAACGGGACATGCCCTTTCGTACAAAAGTACTCCTAAATTCTAATAGTTACGTAAGTAATATTAATGAATCTTTTTTTTTTTTTTATTAAATAATAAAATATTCTTGTGTCCTCTATAAATTATTATACACCTTACTTACTATACAGTATAATAAAAAAATTCCGTCAAACACAGACTTTTTACTATGTAAAGTATATTTAATGAAAAAAGGATAATTTTACTTTCAATCTGAAAAATAGGTTAGTTGCTACTTTTATGATATATTAAATGTACACGTTAGTGGCACTTAAATAACATATTTATGAATTATGCATAAAGTAACTGTCATAATTTAACAATAAAGAAATATATGACAGCGTTATAGTTTTTTCTAACATTTATAGATTCAGTTAAATTAAGAAGGATGAAGGCCCTAACATAACCTCAAAACTGAAAATTGTTTTTACAAAAAAAAAAAAAAACTAAAAATTCAAACAATTTTAGAAGATCTACTCTCTAAATCTGAATTAGTAAAAATGTTCACTAATTTAAATTAGTAACTCACTTTTTGCTTCTGAATTAGTAAAATTTTACTAATTACTAATAACTTTTACAAACAATTAGTAAAATTTTACTAATTCTAAAGTAAAAAATGAGTCACTAATTTAAATTAGTAAACATTTTTACTAATTCAGATTTAGAGAGTAGCTATAAACTATTTTGAAAAAATAATGTTGAGTTAAAATCTTAAACGCGGAAAATGTCCTCAAACAAGACATTTTTTGCAACTGTTAAGACGAACAGTTTTTACAATGTAGAAATTAATATATAAATTAATTATGTAATGCGTTATTAAAAATAAAAAGAACTTACCTTTATTGATGATGGATCCTAAATTATAGCTCAGCGGTCCAGGTCCAATGCTCTTCTTCAGCCCTAAAACAACCTTAAGGGTAAATCTTGAGACCAGCAGATTTAGCTTATCTTCAGATTTAGCCAAGAAGACGATCGCGATTTAAATTATAATTCGGACGCGCGCGAAACAAGTTGTCTTATAACGATAGACAAACAACGAAAACGAAATTTAAACACCCTAAGAAAATTTCGTTCGCGATTATAAAAAAATATCGAATTAAAACTCGCGAAGTTAATAATTTTTAAATCCGACACGACACGTACAGCGTATAAGTTGTTTATTAACGAGAATAAGAAAAAAAGAAAATATTTTACATTAATTATACATATATTAAACGACCGTCACTTTCACTAATTTTCGAACACTCCCGTATAATGTAAAACTGTAAAAAAAATTTACTGAATTTAAAAAAAATCCGCACTATTTATCTGAAACAAAAAATAAATTCAATTAATAATTAAAATTTTAATTAATTAAACACTAAATAATTATTTTTTGATCTGTTTTACCGATGTAATCCATTAAATTTGCTTCATCAGCAGTCGGTAAAACAGTTTTAAATTTATGTAAACCGTCAAATAAGTTTTACCTGCAGTCGGTATAATAGTTTTGTCAATGGAATTATTACGTATTTAGTAATCAGTTAAATCTACATTATTAGAACTCGGTAAAACAGTTTTTAACAGTCAAAACTGTTTTATCAGCAGTAGATAAAACAGTTTTTTGAACCCAGCATTATTAATTCAATCGGTCTAATATCTGCTTTATCAGCAATTGATGAAATAGTTTTGACTAAGAATTATCATTGATTTAATCAATCTAATCTGTATTATCAGCAGTTGGTAAAACAATTTTGACTAAGAACTATTATTTAATCAGTCTAATCTGTTTTATCAGCCGTTGGTAAAAAAAGATTTTACATCTAAAAAATCAGACAAATGTGAGTTACACTTGCACTGAAATCGAGGGTTTGTCTGATTTTTTATCTAAACAAACTTGAAATGAAGCACGTTATCAGGATCATTCTGAATAATGTGAAGTTTGCCAATAATTCAATTTGTTTATACTAAATTCATAACACAGGTCTACAAATCTCAGACCCAGAAACCGGAATAGTCATTTACGATGTATTTTGTCACGCTGAATCCAAAAATGAAAATGAAATTGTTTCATCACGTCAGCGTTTTGAGATATTCTAACCCAAAAGCGTGAAAAATGCCGTTTTTGGCAATATTAGACACTCTATAAAATCTTTAAAAATTTTGTTTAATCATTGATTCAAATTTTAATTGAAAGAACTATATTTCCTCTATCAAAAATTTCTAGGCTCAATACGATCCGATTTTTTTCCCTAAGATACAGCCATTTGAATTTTACGTTGCATGAACTAATATCCCCTTTGAAAACGAAAAATAAATTGCAAAGTACTTATAGCACTGCAACTTGTTACACGGGGATTTTTGGGGTCGCTGATTACGAATCCGATGTCAGATTTCGAAAATCTGAAATTGGATGCGTATCAACGACCACAAAAACCCCCGAGTAATAAGTTTCAGGCAAATCTAGTGAATTTTCTAAAAAAAAGAGTCCGCCATGTTGAATTTCAAAAATCTGACATCGGATTCGTAATTAGCAGCACCAAAAACCCCAAGGAACAAGTTTCAATTCTATAGGTACTTTGCAATTTGTTTTTCGTTTTTAAAAAGATTTTAGTTCATGCAACGTAAAATTCAAATGGCTGCCTATCTTAGAGAAAAAAAATCGGATCAGGCCTAGAAAATTTTGAAAGAGGAAATATATTACTTTTAATTAAAAATTTTGATTAATGATTAAAAAATTTTTTTGACGATTTTATAGAGTGTCTAATATTGCTAAAAACGGCATTTTTCACGCTTTCAGGTTAGAATATCTCAAAACGCTGACGTGATGGAACAATTTCGTTGTTATTTTTGGATTCAGCGTGACAAAATACTTCGGAAATGACTATTCCGATTTCTGGGTCTGACACAATCCAAAATTTTGTAGGCCTGTGATAATCAAACAAAAATGAATAAAGATTTTTTTTTCTTTGATATTAATATTACTGTATGTACTCTACCAGCATTACAGCTAACATTCACTATAACTAGAGAGTATATTATCTTGTCTGCAAGAGAATGAACGAGAAGTCAATAGCATATATACATTTGAACGCTATAAAGAACAAGGCTATAAATAATCTTTATATCTCGAGAAATTTACTATTTACAACAAGACAACACATTATATAAATAAACCCACTAAGAAAGTGTCAAATCAACCATAACCTGTCATAACATTCAACTTGGAGACGTGGTATTGTTTCTCTCTCTCGTGTTTAGTTTGTAACATATTGTATATGAAATACTCTTTTATAAGAATTGCCACAAAATAAAAACAGTGTACTCCTTTGGATCTCTAATAAAAAGAGGGTAGTAAGAAAATAGTACGATACTATTGTATACGATTCTATAGATGTTTCTCGCAGCGAGAAAGAAGGAACATTCTTATAGAACAGGTACATGTGCATTAATACTATATGCAACGAATAATCCACTCGATTATACTATCGCACCCACGTATGTTGCAATGCACCCACGTCTCGTACTTTTATATTTTATTATACCACTCTTTTGGTATATAGTTTCTTATATTATATGTGTGTTCTTTTATTCTTATATACATATATATATATTGACTATGTTGGACGATGCAAGGCATATAATAATAATAATAATATATATTGCTATGTACATTATACAATCAGCACATCCCTCACTTTTAAAATGTGCGGGACTCGATTATGTCAATGCCAACAACCAGATTGTTTATTGCATAATTTCCTCATTCGTCGTACCTGCCCAACTAACGTCCGGTTAGAGAGATGCAACGAAATCATGGGAAATAACATAACAATGCCAAAAGATACTTGACTGGATATGGTTAGAATCGTAAATCCGACAGGATAATTGTACTTTATCGCTAGGCAAAGAATAGCCCCCGTGGATAAATCTCCCTGAGGAACAAGGAAGTCAAATGACGAGAAAAATATAAGAAATGGTAAAAAGAATAAACAAACAGATAAACAAAATTTTATACTACCACGTGAGATTTTTATATGCAAATTATTTTCTTGACTTGGAACATTTGGAACGCATGAATAAGTTACAAAAATTAATTGTTAGAATTTTGATTTAAAAGAATTTCATTGGATATATAATTTCAATTAAGCCGAATTGTTTTTAAAAATCAAAACGATTTTCTCATATTACAGAATTTTTATACAACCGAAAATTTACTTTATAAAATTTTTATTTGTCAGAATTTTTATTTGCTCGAATTTTCATTTAACATAATAGGCATTTTAAAGAATTTTTATTGGGTAGAATTTCATTGCATTCACAGAAAATTATAAGATATTAAAATAAGCAGCAACGCTTATTATTTTAATCCAATTATGCTTATTTTAATACCAAAATGAATTAAAATAAGCCAAATTGGATTAAAATAATAAGCGTTGCAGCTTATTTTAATGCCTTTTAATTTTCTGTGTTGAATTTTCTTTCAGATGAATTTTCATTTGTTTGAATTATTATTTGATATAATTTCCATATAACCGATTTTTCATACTACAAAATTTTTACTTAACCGAAAAATCATTAAACAGAATTTCTAATTGATAGAATTTTCATTTGTCCGAAATTTCAAATGTCCGAACAAACAATTGACAGAAAGATTTCGGCGCGATTTTTAAAATCATTCACTTAAAAATTATCCACAAAATTGTGATTACTTGATTTTCAAAATCG